GAAATTATGTGTAATGTATATTAAATTTTATTTCTGAAATTTGTTGCAGAAATTTATGATTCAATCAACAGATGAGTCGTCCAATAATTCTACAGATTTATCAGTATCATCTGTAAGTTTCGTAAGCATAGTAAAAGTAAAATGAAATTAGTTATTGATATTTAAATTTCTATAAATCTTTTCTCCTGGAACATCTAGTATTCGCAGTCAGCATCTCCTGCACAATCTTTGCCTATGTCTACTCCTGTCCTACAAACAACTTCGGAAAATGCAACTGCTTCTGTCTTAATAGCATCAACAAGTCCTGCACTGACTTCATCTGTTTTCAAAAAACAAAATGCCGAGAAACAGATGTATATTAAACGAGGATCCGCTAAAAGAAAGTATGATAATGTAATGGAAGAAGCAGTTAGTGCAATTAAAACTTTGTGTACACCAGATTCAATAGAACCACTTAAATCTAATTTGTCTGATGCTGCTCATACATTGGGCTTGTTTATCGCAGCAAGGCTGCGTGACATGATACCTGATCAACGTAGGCTGTGTGAAAATGAGATATTAAAAATATTATCTGAGTATTAATATATATCATTAATATATGACATTTCTTCGTTATAATATTATAACTTTTTGTATTTTTATATTTTAATTGTTACATATGTAAAACTTTATTTTTTTTAAATGCATATGTAAAACTTTATTTTTCAAAAATACATATGTAAAACTTTATTTTTCAAAAATGCAGATGTAAAACTTTATTTTTCAAAAATGCATATGTAAAACTTTTTATTTTTTAAAAATATATATGTAAAACTTTTCATTTTTTAAAGAAAGTTAGAATGCAATTAAATTATATTGTTGCGCCCGCGAACGGTCTTTCCGTCACAAACGGCATGCACGAAAGAAAGAACACTTTTACGAACACTACAGAAACTTTATTTCACTCAACCATTGAACAGAATAACACAGAACAATTCCGTTTAAACCGTACACCGCTGAGCTAGCAGAAACGCGTCCGCACTTTTCTGCAGATCTCGAAAATCTGACGTCTCACAATTTATTTACAAACTGTCATAGAGACGTCTAAACAATATTACCATGGAGACATTATTTATAACATTAAAAAGTTGCTAAGAAACAGCTTCTCAAACCGTTGAATGACCGATTGATAATATCGATCGGTCTCTCAGCTGACTGCACGCAGCATCAGCGACGAAAAAGCCTGGACGCAACACTGCCCCTCTTCTTCAAAATTGTCGTCCCGACAATTGTCTTGGCTTAATGGATTGACGGTAGTCTTCATGTCTTCAAATGTTGACTCCAGGGTGACATTACGACTTCTTGCCCTACCCTGAGCTGTTGCTACAGGTTACCGAGCGTCGAAATTCCCAATCAAACACCTTCAGAATTATGAAAGATTTTGTCGTCGAACCCTTCTGCGTCGATTCCAGGATACCCTCATGGTTTCTTGCTCTATCCTGAGCCACTTCTGCTGCAGGTTACCGAGCTCCATCTTTTTGTATCCAATCGACTTTCTTTTCAAATTTTTCTGGCTTCTTCTGCTTTCTAATTTGGACAAGAGAGGGGTATTCACCGTGGACCCATCGCCCTAAAAAGGACTTCTCAAGCCCTCTGCTTCGGCATTTGCCCTTTGGCTCACGGGAAAACCACGGCTCAAAAACCGTGAACGAAGCAGTCTCCTATGAAAGCTTTAAAATTCTTTAATCTTTTTCATTTTTCTTTCTAACTTTGTCCTAATTTCTTCTTCCAAAATTTCCTATCCTTCCTTTCTTCAAATATTCTTTCTCCACTTCCTTTCCTCAAATATCCTTTCCACTTCTTTTCTTCAAACCTCTACTTTCTTTCTTCAAATCTTCAAACTCTCTTCTTCAAATATCCTTTCTTCACTTCCTTTCTTCAAACCTTTCCTCTTTTCTTTTCAGGAAACTCGTGGGCAAGACAGTCTTCAATCAATTGTTCTTTACTTCTTTCCAATTCCATACAGTTTCATGTTCATAAAGATGAAATCTTCAGAACACTAAAAAAAACAAAACTCAAACAAGTGAATTGATCACAAAAGAAAAATATTAGTTAGGGCTTCGGATGTAATAAAACTTTCTCTAATTCCTAAATTTGATAAATTGTTTAAAATTAATTTAAAAATTTTCAAAATTAACAAAATTTTATCAAGATTAATTAATTTTTTTTTCTCTTTATCGGTCACATTAGGACACTCTGACCGGTAGTGCCCCTGTTCACCACACTGCCAACATTCTTTATTTTCTCTATTAGAAAAACTATTTTCATTAACTTCTTTTATGACTTTTGCTCTTTCAATCGCTAATTTTAGCGATGTTCTCTCTTCTAATTGAAGGGTTCTCTTGATGAATCCATCATTTAGCGCGTTTATAAATTGCGCACACGCAATTTTCTCGCGGACTTCAACTGTACATTCCGCATAAGTTAATCTAACAAGTCTTTCTATCTCAACACCTAAATCCGAAACATCTTCTCCAAATTTTTGCCGATGATTCGTAAATTGAGTATAATATGTGCCTGAGAGACATCCCTCCCCAAAACGTAATTCCAATTTTGATTTTAATTCATCAAAATTTAAATTTTCTATTTTGGACACATTCTAACACCGAACGCGCTTTTCCCCTCAAACAAGAAGCTAACGCGAAGTTTTTACCCTATTCAACCAATTTGCGACGACTTTTCCGTCGGGCAGAAGCTCACCCGCCGGTAGGCGTGCAAACCTCGTTGCTCTATTTAATTCTCTCTTAATTACTGTAATGCTTATAATTGGGCGCCAGGCGCGGATTGACGCGCCGCACGAACAAACACGTTAGAGTCAATATCTTCATTAATTTGCAACGGCAATAAGCGCGACTAGCCCGCTCTACAAATGGCAGAGGGGCGAGGTTCTTGAGAGACGCGAAATACAAATTTGGAGAGAGGAGTCTGAAATAAAATTGTTATTGAGAACACATTAACTTGGTAACAAATAACATGTAATTATTGCAATTAGATCAAGTGAGATTGACGCCGGGTGATAGGCGTCTTAACAATCCCGCGGAGCGGAGACATAAATTATCTCTGTGAGAGGCGTTATGATTTGGATGTTCGGCTCGCGGAAGTCCGCGTACTTCCGTCTCACGCGGTATAATATGTTCGGCGTACCAGTCTTACAATTCTGATTAGGTACGGTCGTTCGATTCACTCTACTTTAATTCTTCTCAATGTCAAGTTAGCACACAACGCGAATTCTTTCCTTACACGGTTCTTAACAGTTCTTAATTTTAATGCTCAACAAAAGGTCGAGGCGAGAGATACGCGACAGGCTAACTCCAAAGAGTTTCTTACGCTCGGTACGCAAATACATGAATATACGCGAAATTATTACGCACAAAAGACATTACTCAACGCAAAACGACCGTCGGCTCGACAGCCCCGAGGGGAAGAGCATGGTGGAATTTTAGTCTAAAGTAGCGGTAGTCAGCGGGGCCCGGCCTAAATCTAACCTCGCACGATACCGCGAGACATCTCGGTACATTCAATACCCTTTACGTAAAATATGCGGGTTCTTATTTCCGCGAGGCTCGGGCCGCCTACTGATACCGCTCTTACCGCGAAGTCGAAGTGGTGGCCTTACAAATCGTCGGTACGCCCGTTGTGGTCCTCAAGGTTCCGCTCAGGTTGCCGACTCGCCGAACAGTGACGACAGCGAGGCTCGCCGGACAGCGGCGACATTCCGCGCATCGTCCTGCGCATGTAGATCCTCGCTATCGATTAGCGATTCTTGATCCTTCGATGTTATCTAGTGGTCTCGATCCTTGCGTCGTTCCTCGATATATCGGCCCTCGGTGACGCTTTTCCGAGATGACCCCGGTCTCTCTCTTCGGGCAGCTGCCGTTAACGCCCTTCGTGGCCTTCTCTGTTTCCGGATCCAAACCTTCTTTGAATCGGCCGAGAACTGGCCAGGTTCCGACCTGATTCTGCTTTCCTGGCTCGTTACGACAGCTCCTTTTTCGGGTACTCCACCCCGGGTCTCCGCCGGGTCTCCGGCGTGTGAGAGCGCGCTTCCCTCTCGGGCGTCATTTCTCTCGGTGCGTCCACCGGCCTCGATATGTTCCGAATCTAAAACTGGATGTACGGTAGCGACTGTGTCTGGAGTCTAATTGTATAATCAAGAGTATTTTACTTGACCTTGTTCCGGACCTGTCTTCGCGCTGTCCGGGCCTCCGTCGTCCTGCCTGCTGAGTCCCTCGCAGGTCCCACGAAGGCTGCTCCACCTCAGTCACAAAATGGGAGTTTGGCCACTCACTACGACTCGCGCAATTTGCTACAACGCTCAAAAAAGGAATTAAGAGGGAGGGATCGTCGCCCCCCGCGGTGGGGTTTCCGACCTCAAATTTTCCTCCTCGATAGGGCTTACTCGCCCTTGTGACGGACCTCGAAAATGTCACGTCACAAATTATTTGCACTAGCTATCAAATTGAATTGTACGAAGAATTCGCGTAAAGATCCCGAACCGTCATAAACATCAGGCTTCAATTTATAACCCAAATTCATAGCATTCGCACACAATTCATCTCGCGGTATTAAATTTTTGCAACAAGCGTTATTCTGAAAGATATTATGTGCACGACTTAGCTGGGTTAATTGTTCTTCAAATCCCTGCATCACCATGTCTCGCCGCTCCAATTCCGCCTGCAACCGTTCCCGTTCCTGCCTGCGCCTCCTCCCGAAGCTGCTCCAGCTCCTGCAGGATCGCTCTCAACGTTTCCGTTTCGGCAGACATCGCTGGGGTTTGCGAGCGCGTTCTCTTTGGCGTATGCGTAGTTGCCATTTCCAAAAACAATAAATCCACAACAGTCCGATCGTTCGTTATGATCCCGACTGAGCCCCCAAAATGTTGCGCCCGCGAACGGTCTTTCCGTCACAAACGGCACGCACGAAAGAAAGAACACTTTTACGAACATAACAGAAACTTTATTTTACTCAACCACTGAACAGAATAACACAGAACAATCCCATTTAAACCGTACACCGCTGAGCTAGCAGAAACGCGTCCGCACTTTTATGCAGCTCTCGAAAATCTGACGTCTCACAGTTTACAAACTGTCATAGAGACGTCTAAACAATATTACCATGGAGACATTATTTATAACATTAAAAAGTTGATTACTAAGAAACAGCTTCTCAAACCGTTGAATGACCGATCGATAATATCAATCGGTCTCTCAGCTGACTGCACGCAGCATCAGCGACGAAAAAGCCTGGGCGCAACAATATTTTAGTTAGAGCAATAGAATAAAAGGCCACTTCGACCAAGCTCCGGTTAATTTAATTTATAATTAATTTTCAGTGCTATAAACATAATTTCTGCCGATTTGTGCGTGCGTGCGTGCGTGCGTGCGTGCGTGCGTGCGTGCGTGCCGTGCGTGCGTGCGTGCGTGCGTGCGTGCGTGCGTGCGTGCGTGCGTGCGTGCGTGTGTGTGCACAGATAGAAATGCTGTTGATAGCATTAAAAGTTAATCGTAGATTTAATCAGAATTTGGTCCTAAATATGAAATGCCTGATTATTGCTAGATCTAAAATAATTAGGTATTTTTGTGTGTAAACACTTTTACAAAAATTTAAACATTAAACATTAATTGAAAATACCTAATTATTATACATCTAAGTAGCTATGCGTTTCTGACATATATAATATGTTATTTTTAGTTTTAGGTATTTTAACATACAGATTTTATTTGTTCAGACTTGACAAAAAGATTATAAAGTATTTATTCATATAAATTGTATTGATAATAGAAAAATAGAACTCTGTTGTTTAAAGAAATAGATATGTCGTTTATTTATAAGTATTCATAATAGCAATTATTTTTCTAAATTTCTAAATATATAAAACTATATATTAAAACATAAGATGAACAAGACATAAGACAGAACATAAGAAGTTCTACAGTAGTATATTGCACTTGTTAATGAATTGCCTGATCTTGCCATGATACTTTTCCAACGTTATTGAAATATTCACATAAAGTCTCTCGCATTTCTATGACAGCACGAGCATGGCGGTTACCTCCTTGATGTTGAAAATTTTGTAAACCTTGTCCTTGTTCTTTTCGCCATTCTCCATGTTGGAGCTGACCTGTCATTTCATCTTCCATATCAATGTATCCTGGTGGAGTATACATTGCACGGCCTACACTATCAGACCTCAACATATTATGAAGACAACAAATTGCTAGTACAATAGTACGAGCATCATCTGGGTCATATCTCATAGGAGATCGGAGTATATTAAATTTGCTGACCATGACTCCAAATGCATTTTCTGAACATCGTCTTGCTCTAGATAATCTGCAATTATTGAATATAGAATTCGATTATTACTAATTTATAAAAAAAAGCATTAATTTCTTGACTTACCTATAGTTATAAATTCTTCTGTCTTTTCTGGCTGTACATTGTTCCTTAGGATAAGGTATGAGTATATTTGTAGATAGAATAAAACCTTCATCCCCTATAATTACATAAAGAAAATCCTGTTCAGTATCTGGTAGAGGATTTGGTAGAGTATATTTATATCATTTTTCTCTAAATGATGTTTAAGAGCACATTTGTTCCATATTCCTCTATCAGATACTCGTCCATTTGTGCCCACATCAACAAATATGAATCTGAGTTGAGCATCCACAAGTCCCAAAAGCACAATACTAAATGTTTCCTTGTAATTAAAATATGAAGAACCAGACTTAAGTGGAGGATCTATCAGACAAAGATCGGCAAAAAAGTAATAATAAATTAATATTATTTAATTATTTAATTAATTATTTATCACAGAAAAATATTTTCCGATTACTCGATTAACCAATAATCAAACTCGAAAATTATTTGATTACTTTATCAATCAGTAATCAGAAAATAAAATTTTTGATTACTCGATTAATCGGTAATCAAACTCAAAAATTATTTGATTACTTTATCAATCGGTAATCAAAAAATAAAATTTTTGATTACTTGATTAATCGGTAATCAAACTCAAAAATTATTTGATTACTTTGTCAATCGGTAATCAGAAAATAAAAATTTTGATTACTTGATTAATCGGTAATCAAACTCGAAAATTATTCGATTACTTTGTCAATCGGTAATCAAACTCGAAAATTATTTGATTACTTTATCAATCAATAATTAGAAAATAAAATTTTTGATTACTTGAATAATTGGTAATCAGAAGGAAATAATTTCAATTACTTGATTACTCAATAATCGAGGTCTGATGTTTCTTGATTATTTTAGTTAATTAATAATCAGCGCAAGGCAGCAATTACGTAGAGAAATAAGGAATAAATTCAACGAAATATTTTTGTAATAAAATTAATTGAATTAATTAGAACTTTTTGTGACTGATAAAGGAATAGTTCAATTAACAAAATAATTTCTCCGTTTTCAATGAACTAATATGTTTAATGTGAATGAAAGTCTGCGTTTATTTAAAAAAAAAAATTTGCAAGATCCAGTGATTGCTTCTCTCAATGCAATATCTAAAGTAAATTAGTGAATAATATATAAAGAA